CGACACGGCCATCTGGGCCCGCCCGCCTGACCGGCCCCGTTTGGGTCCGCTCGCCTAGTCCACCCGGTTGGTTCTGCCGTTTGTTTTCCTGCTCCTACAGCACCCTCCCTGCGAATCTCTCTCGTGCTGCATCCGATTCCTTCCCCCTTTGCCCGTTCCTTCCTCTCCCCCTGCTTCAGGGGCGGCGCCAACAGCGCGTGGCAGGTAAGGAGGATATGCCCCCAAGGGCGGCACGATCGAAGTCGAAGAGGGCGGGTAGCGAGGGTTTGGGATGTACATATTGAATGGCACGCGGGCAGATAAGTCTTAACATGATTGTTGTTGTTGTTGTCGTTGTGTTGAGGTGGAGGGGGGATCCGTATGGGGAGGGAGAGGGGGAGGGGGAGAAGGGAGAGGAGGAGGAGGAGAAGGGCGAGGAGAAGGCGGACGATGAGAATGAGGATGAGGATGGTGATGGTGATCGTGGTGATGATGGTGATGATGGTGATGATGGTGATGATGGTGATGATGGTGATGATGGTGATGATGGTGATGATGATGGTGATGGTGGTAATGACTTGATGGTGATGGTGATGTTGATGGTGGTGGTGGTGACGGTGACGATGGTGATGGTGATGGTGATGATGATTTTGTTGATGATGGTGATGATTCGGAGGAGGAGGAGGAGGTGGAGGAGAGGAGGAGGAGGATGGTGGACTCCGTCGGCATCCATTCCAGATTATTCCACTCGAGGGCGCTGGAGGTCTGGATGGGCAGATCGGTGCTGGCTCGCACGCCCGTCCCGGCCAAGGCCCCGCCGACCAGACCGTCCTCGCGGCCAAGCTCTGGGAGACGCCCCGGCCAGACGTGGTGGCGCTCAGCGGCGGCAGGTACCAGGCGAAGGGGGAGGGATACTGGTGTGGTGACGACGACGATGGTGATGATAGTGACGTCGGTGGTGACTAGGAGGGGGAGGAGGAGGAGGAGGAGGAGGAGGAGGAGGAGGAGGAGGAGGATGACGGTGAGGATGAGGAGGACGAGGATGATAAGAGTTATGAAGAAAAATTTGATGGTTCTGATGGTGATGGTGATGATGGTGATGATGGTGACGATGCTGACGATGGTGATAATGATGATGATGATGCTGCTGATGATGATAATAGTGATTGTGATGCTGGCGCTGGCGATGATACTGCCGCTGGCGATGAATATTACGATATCACCCCCCTCAACGGAGACTCCAGTGGGTAACCCCCGAGGTCAGGCGTCGCCGGTTCCCGTTTTCTCGGGGAGCGCACTAAGTCTTCGCAGGACCTTTCGTCGCCGTTTTTTCTCCTGGGTTCCTCGGCGTTCTTTGGGGCGCATGATGCGGACCGCGGCTTGCTCGCGGGCCTCCTTGGGCCGCGTGGACTTATGGGGGGCGCCACCGAAGGCCCCAGTGTCAGGATTCACAGATGTCCCCTGTTAAATTTGGGCACACACGTATCACACGGTTCGTGGCCTCACAGGGAGTTCCACCGAAAGTCTCATTAGCAGGGTTCACATGCGTCCCAAGTCCAGTTTTGGCGCACCCCTCACACGGTGCGTGGCCCCATAGAGTTTCAGGGAGTTTCTCCGATGGCCCTTGTTGCAGCGTTCGCACGCCTCCCGAGGCTGGTTTTGGGACAACCCTCGCACTATTCGTGGCCCCTGACCGCTGATTCGCAGCAGCAGTCACGAAAACGCGACTTTTGCATATTGCAAGCCTACACTTTAACTCACGCGCAGCGAAGGCGAGGGGACGGCGCGCGTGTTGTCAATTTCTCGAGGCATTCGATTTGCATTGTCGTTCAGTGTGCGCGTGAACAATACGCCGCCACATGCCATGCGTTGGCTTGTTAGTGTTTCGGCGTGTCGTCATTGAGATTTTTCGAAGAGGAACACTGAAGATTTGCAGGTTTTCGCTTTTTTTGTCGGGGTGGGTTTGTGTGAGGCGAGTCACGTCGCCGTTTCTCGGTGACACTTGGTAAGCGTGCAGGAATTAAATGCGCTTCGCTGCTCTCTCTGAGTAGATAGGTTACGTACGGAGTAAGAGGAGTGACATTACAATGATGCCCACGATGAGTGTGATGATGCTGCTTATGATGACGGTGATGATGACGGTGATGACACTAGGAGTGAGGATGATGCTTACGACGACGATGATGGCTCTGATGATGATGGAGAAGGTGGTTGTAACGATGATGATGATGACGATGATTATGATGGTGACGATGATGAGGATGATGATGACGACGATGATGATGACGATGAGTATGATGTTGATGTTGATGTGGATTATGATGATGATGATGATAATGATGATTGGTGATTGCTGATTGATGATGATGATGACGATGCTGATGATGATGATGCTGATGATGATGATGGTGATGGTGATGGTGATGGTGATGGTGATGATGGTGATGATGATGATGATGATGATGATGATGATGATGGCCACACCACTTCAAGGACGCTTCGGCCAGAGCTAGCCTGGCCGTGCGGCCAGCCTCAGGACCGAGCGACAGAAGGAAGACGCAGAACGAGGAGGAGGAATGAGGAGGAATGATGATGATGATGATGATGATGATGATGATGATGATGATGGTGATGATGATGATGATGATGATGATGATGATGATGATGATGATGATGATGATGATGATGATGATGATGAGGGGGAGGAGGCGGAGGAGGAGGAGGAGGAGGTAGGATGGAGGAGGATGTGGAATGCAGATGATGACGGTGATGATGATTGTAATGATGATGATAATTCTGATGATGATAATGATGATGAGGAGGAGGAGGAGGAGGACAGTCAGGATGTCCGGTGGCCCTGCGCTTCCGTAAAAGTTCGCAGATGTCTCAGGGTGCTTTGCTCTCGCTTCGAGATCGACCTCCGAGCGCCTCAGTCATTACCCTCTACCTCCATGCCCCTCTGCCTTGTGTCTCACTATTCTTTTCTATACATTCCTCTCCCTCTTAATCCTCGATCCTCATCATACATCATCTTCTTAACTATCCTGCTCCTCTTCCATCCTCCTCCTCCCCTCCTCCTTCATCCCCCTCCCCCATCCTGCTCGTTGTCCTGCCGCTCCCTGCCCCCGTCCTTCTAGGCAGTAGGAAGATGATATTTGAGCGGCCGTGTAGAAGTTCATCAACTAGACTGTAGATGCAAGTCGATAAGATAGCTGCCATCTGCGACCCCAGCGCCGAACCACGCGTATTCGTTTACGATCCTCTTGCCTTCGCGTGGTTTTCCCAGTGGTTTTGAAGGGGCATTCCAGTCCCAGGGAAAAACTTGCCCCATGCCCCGCCGGTGTTATTTATCACCCGCCTTCCGGAGTGTGCCCCCTGCCCCAGCCTCTTCTGGACAGTAGAGACTTGATAGTCGGAGCAACAGTGGTCGGAGTTAGTTCGTACATCGAGCAACAGACGGTGGTTTTCGCTCGAGACATCTCGTGGTTAGAACTAGATAATGTGAGCTGAAGCTTAACTTCAGCAACAGCCACGCGGATGAAGGGCGGCCCGTTTTGCCCATCAGGGGGACTCCAGTGGACGACTTCTATAATGGGGGAGTGCCATGATGGAGTGCTACTGGGATCTCAGATCCTCTTTGAACCATCTCGAGTACAATCGGAATTTGATTGGGATATGAGTTACTTGGTTCATGTCGCAATCCTTTTGGGCACTCTTTGGAATCCAATTTGGGTTTGGCTGGAATTCAATTGGGCTCTTGGTGGGATCCCGCACTGAGGGGCCTGGGGGCGGGATATCATTTCCAGGGGCGGCAAGCGATACAGTTTCGCCGAAAAGGGGGGGACGATACTTTGTCTCGGAGGTGAGCTCTCCCTCGCATCCCTTCCCACTCCGCCGATTTTTTCTCTATCCGCGGACGTGTGTCATAGCCGACCTGTAACTCAAACAAGCGATCCCGTCGTGCTATGCGTAATCGGAAAAAAAAGGGCAGCTGCATGCATAGGAGGTGGAGGAGGAGGAGGAGGAGGCGGAGGAGGAGGAGGAGGGCGAGGAGGAAGATGAGGAGGAGGAGGAGGAGGAAGAGGAGGAGAGGAGAGGAGGAGAGGAAGGAGGAGGAAGGAGGTGGAGGAGGAGGAGGAGGAGGAGGAGGAGAGGAGAGGAGGAGGAGGAGGAGGAGAGGGAGGAGGCGAACCGGAGACGAGGAGGAGGAGGAGGAGAAGGAGGAGGAGGAGGAGGAGGAGGAGGAGGAGGAGGCGAACCCAGCGCACGCCTCGTGCCCCACGAGGAGCTCCACCGACGGCCCCCGCGTTGGCGTCCGCACGGAGGCGCCGCGCCCACAATCGGCGCATCCCTCGCGCTCGCTCCGTGCCCCGTGCCAAGCTCCACCCACGACCCCCATCGGCCCAGCTGGCCGCGGGCGGGCCAGAAGCCCCGCAGGAGGCCGCGCAGGAGCCGCTCGGGCTCCAGCGGCCCAGGGGCTGGGCCGCGCTCGGCGGCGGCGCCCTGGCCCGCATCCAGGGAGCAAACCACGACACGAACAGCAACTTTCGGAGGTCCGCGCGGACTCCTCGGATCGGGGGCCTCAGCGCCAGGGGGCGTCGGCGTCGTCGTCGTCGGCGGCGTCGGCGTCGGCGTCGGCGTCGGCGTCGGCGTCGTCGGCGTCGGCGTCGGCGTCGTCGTCGGCGTCGTCGTCGTTCTCGTCGGCGGCGGCGTCGGAACGCCGCGCCCTCCCCCCCCGCTGGAGAAGGAGGCCGCCGGCCGGGGAGACGCCCCCCCGCTCGACCCCGGTTAATGGGAGCCGGTTAGTGATTGGGCCCCGAAGCCCAAAATATGGACTGGAATCCCTAAACCAGGTCTGCCGTAGCTGGCGTTTCTCGGGTGGCGGCAGTTCCGGTCAGTGGACTTGGGCGGGGGGGGGGGGTGGGCCTTCCCCAGCACACATCACTAAGACAGGTCCCACTACACCCAGTTCTGCCAACGCCCGATCTGGGTTTGTGTCGTTGTTCGTTCCCGTGCGCATGGCCCCGTCCCGCCGGAGCTCCTCCGCGGCGGCCGGCAGGGGCTCCGTGAGGGCGGCGGCGCCCGGCGGCCGCGTCGACGGGCGCTCGGCCCGCAGCGCGCCGCCCGGACGCGGCGCCCGGGGAGCGGGGCGTCGAGCCCCCGAGCGTGAGGGCAGGCCGGCGAGGGCCGAAGACGTTCCCGAAGCGCTCGGGGTCCTCCTCCTCCCTCCTCCCTCCTTCTCCCTCCCCTCCCTCCTCCCCATCCTCCTCCTCCTCCTCCCCTCCTCCTTCTCCTCCTCCTCCTCCTCCTCCTCCTCCCTCCTCCTCCTCCCTCCTTCCTTCTTCCTCCTCCTCCTCCTCCTCCTCCCCTCCTCCTCCTCCTCCTCCTCCTCCTCCTCCTCCTGCTCCTCCTTCTCCTTCTCCTCCTCCTCCTCCTCCTCCTCCCTCCTCCTCCTCCGCCTCTTCTTCCTCCTCCTCCTCCTCCTCCTCCTCCTCCTCTCCCTCCTCCTCCTCCTCCTCCTCCTCCTCCTCCTCCTCCTCTCCTCCTCCTCCTCCTCCTCCTCCTCCTCCTCCTCCTCTCCTCCTCCTCTCTCCTCCTCCTCCTCCTCTCCTCCTCCTCCTCCTGCCTCCTCCTCCCTCCCTCCTTCCCTCCCCTCCCTTCCGCCCTCCTGCCTCCTCCTCCTTCCTCCCTCCCTCCCTCCTCCCTCCCTCCCTCCTCCCTCCTCCCTCCTCCCTCCCCCCTCCTCCTCTGTCCTCCCTCCTCCCCTCCTCCCTCCCTCCCTCCTCCCTCCTCCCTCCCTCCCTCCTCCGCAAGGAAGAGGGCGCGCGCCGTGCACCCTGGCGGGCCGACAAGTCCGTTGCCGCTTTTTCCCGGAAAGGGCACAGGCCCAGGGTTCTCTTTTAGAGGTTTACCCCCGGTTTTGACGGCTGATGGGCCGGCGAATTTCTTTTGCGATAAATAACGAGGTCGCGTAGGGCTGGGGAATTAAAAATTGAGGATGTCTCTAGCGAAACGCTTGTTTTTCAGAATTTGTTGAGGATGTCTCGAGCGAAACGCTTGTTTTGTCTTATAGATTGTCCTCTCCTGGGGACCAGAGTTCAGAGGATCTCTCAAGTGAAATGCTTGTTTTCACGTGCCCAGGTATTGAGCCGTAGCCATTTTGGCTCAAGCCATTTTGGCTCAAGTCCGAAGTGTTTCGCTCAGACTTGTCCGTGGGAGGCGCGGCCCACGGTATCTCACGTGCGCCTCTCACGGGCGTAGCTGCTATCTCATATCTAACGACTGTGCTGAGGCCAGCGCCTCCTGACTTGTCAGTCACGTCTCGTTCCCTGTGCACCCTGTACCCGCAGTCATGGCTTCCAATTCTGTTGCTGCTTCTCAGCCTGCTGGCTCTCAGAGGGTTGCCCGTCGCAAGTCCAGACGCCCGCAACGGGCCCCTGCTGCAGCCAGTGAAAGGTCTCCTACGGACACCCCTGAGGGCAAGCGCACCAAGACCCGTGACGAGGACGGCAGTGACGCCGACGTGCTGGTGGATGGTCTTGGGGCTGCAGGTCCTGTCGATCCCTTGCAGGCCTGCGACCCGTGGGATGCTACTAACAAGCCTGGCGAGACCGACAACAACACTGGCGGCACCGCCACCCCAGTCGCCCTCGACCCCAACGCATTCGTGTGCGGGTTCGAGTTGGAAGCTTTGGTGGCGGATTTCAAGGTTGATTTCCTTTCCTCTGTCAATAACACTACGTCTGCTCTGGCCACCCAGCTGGCGGACAAAACGGCTTCGGCGCTTCGCAAGTTTGCGGCGCAGCAGGAGGCCAAGCACGAGGAGACTGCCCTTCGTCATCGGGAGCTCAACCAGAGGCAAACGTCGCTGGAGCAGGCTCATCACAAAATGGCAGCCGAAATGGATCGTCTCAGGCACACTCTCCATCTTTGTGAGCAGGCCGCCCCGCAGTCGGACTACGCCGACGTCGCGGGCTTCACGCGGGAGCCTAGTCGCACCTGCTTCGTGGCTTCTGCTAAGGCTGCGGTCTCTGCTTCCAGTGTCAAAGAGGCTGTTCTTCCCTGGCTGGAGGCCGCTGGCTTCAAGGATGATCAGTGGCATGTTGTGGGTGATTCTCCTTCTCGGCGATTTGTGGTCGCGTTCAAAGGTGCGCCTGGGCTGGCTTCGAAGCATGTTGTCCACGCTCACAAGGCACTCAAGCTGCCAGGCGGTGGAGGATGGCGCAGGTTCGAGGCCCGCGATGCCGAGTCGCAGGCGCATGAGCTCTTCATCAGTCCAGACAAGAACGGGCAACATATCCGCCGCGAGGTTCAGTGCAAAAAGCTTTTCGAGCTCGTCAAGAGCACCAACCTTCCTGGTCGATGGCGGGCCGACCGATCTCAGGGAGTTGTATATCGGGCGTCGACCCCAGCCGTCCGCATCCTCGTCCCAGATGACCCCACGCAGGCGTCTTCCCTGGAGTGGAATTATCGTCTTATCAATGATGCTGGTTTAGACAAGGATGCCATGGTCGCTGCCTTCAACAGCCTCTTCGGTGAATCCGAGAAGGTCGCGTGGAGTCTTTAGCCGCCGCTTTGCCCCGTGGAAGGCGCCCAGTGAGCTGAAGGCCCCGCTTTCGTTCGCAACGTGGAACACTCGAGCTTTGTTGCATCACGACCTGCACACACGTCAGCACACCATTAAGTACTTGTCTCAGTTTCTCTCGAGGGGCACGATCATGGCACTGTAAGAGGTCCGCGCTACGGAGGTGGAGCTTCAGCAGGACATGTTCAAGCTCCACATCCTACATATTGCTTTCTCTTCTGTTGGCACGCAGCGACATACTGGTGGTGTGTCGATTATCATTCCATGTTCTCAGAGTGGAGCCCATCAGCGGGCAAGGTTCTGGCATGAGGAGCTGGTGCCAGGAAGGATTCAGAGGCTTCGCATTTCTAGTTTCAGTCACGACTCTTGTCCTGTGGCGTCCACGGTTATTTACAATGTTCACAATTATAACATATCGAGACAACAGGTGCAATCGCTTCGGCAGAGGGTCGCTCGAGACGCGGCGCCCGCAAACGCGGCGCCCGACAGGATTTCTATCATTTTCTTGGGGGACTTCAATATCTACGCTGCTCTGCCTATGTATCCGCGCGCTCCCGAGATCGACCGTCGCAGGCCTGTCTCGGACGTTGCGCCGCATGTGGCTGAAGCTGAATGGAAACGTATATTTGCTTTGCTCCTCGAAGTGGACAATGAGATGCCCACCCGCTACGTCGCGCAGGAGGGGCAACAACCGAAGTTGACGCACATTGACCGTGTCTTTGTATCGTCTCAGAGCTGGGAAGCCATTCAATGGACTATGTCGGTCTCTACTCCAGACTTTCCCGGGTTTCTCTTCGAGAAGGGCATCAGCGATCACTCCCCTGTCTTGCTTACTCTGGCGCCGCGGCCGGCGCCGCGTCCAGACACTCAGCGTATTCCATCGTTTATCTTTCAGGATCCCGACTATGCTCGGCTCATCAAGAATATGGCGTCGGAAGTGGACTGGCACTCTCTCACCTCGGCGTCCAAGCGGAGGGTCACTGAGAATATAATGAAGGAGGCCGCTCGGATGGTGCGTTCTCGATTGGTTCGCAACCCTCAGTCGACGGAAGCGAGACTAATGGTCTTTCGCTCTATGGCTCGTGCGGTGTGGAGAGATGATTCGCGACTTGCGAGGCGTCTCCTGTCTTCATCGGCTCTTGCTCGCGAGCATGTGTGTGTGGTTGGGGACTTAGTGGAGCTACGTGACACCATCGCTTTTGCTCGTGCTGTCACTCTCGAGCAGCAGGCCTTCTCAGAGGAGCGGGAGGCGGCGCTCGCACAGCGTGAGGCTCGTGCTAAACCCGATGCAGCTTCCTTCTCATTCATTAATGCACAACGTCGTGCCCTGCGCAGGAGGGCATCGCTGTGGACTCCCTTTGCTCGGGCGCTCAAGCTTCAAGGTATCCGTCTCCCTGGCGATGGTGAAGTGGTGGACTCGCAGAAAGACATGGTCACAGAGCTGCGTCGCCACTGGGGCCCCGTGTTTCAGCACAAGCCGAGGTGCTCCAACTGGGCGCAGCTTTCGGATAAGTATCTTGAGAAGTTTGGCACCCAGTTTGATTTCTCCGAGGTGCTCCCCCCGGCGGCTGCTCGACTTATGGAGGCGGCTCGTCGTGCTCGGCCATCGGCTCCTGGGCCCGACGGGTTACCGTATGAGGCGTGGCGCAGGTCGTCATTGGGCATGCAGTCGCTGGAGGAGATCGCCGTCGAGCTGGCTGCTGGTCTTCCACCGCCGACGGACTGGAATGAGCATCTCATGGCTTTCTTACCAAAGGGGGGGGAGGACCCGGGCGACGCCGCTGGGGCCTTCAGGTCGGCATCTACTACGAGAGCGTTGGCGCTGAAAAAATCTGATTGTAAACTTGTGGCGAGTGCTTTCAACATGAAGCTCACACGGACGGCGGCGGCGACCTCTCCCGCGGCTCAGAGGGGCTTCCTGGTCGGCAGAAACTTTCTTAACAATATCACATTGTTGGACACAGTTGCGGGGGCATGTGGCTTCCAGCGTAAAGATGCGCATCCTGTTATGGCGTTGCACGACTTTGGGGGCGCCTTTCCGTCCCTGGAGAACGACTGGCTTCTCAAGTCGCTCTCGCGCGCGGGGGTTGAGGATGGCATCTTCGCGTTGCTCGCCTCGCTGCAATGGTTGCCGACGGCATGCGTGCAGGCCGCTGGCTTGCAGCAGCACGTCTTGTGCATTTCTTTTTGCTGGGCTCAGGGGTGCCCATCCAGTGGGGCGCTCTGGGCTATCGCGATGAACCCTTTCGTGCAGGCGATGCAGGTTCTGCTTCACTCATGTGGCCGCTCGGCGGTCGGTGTTTGTGCCGACGATGTTGGGGCGACGCTGCAACGCCGTTCTCTTTTGAAGGATATGTTTCGTGTCTTCCGTGCTGCAGACGCCCTCGGGGGCCTCGGGCTCAAATTTCGCAAGTGCGTCATCATTCCGCTTGAGGGTGAATTTTCTTCGGTGATGGAAAAGGAGACTCGTCAATGGCTTATGGAGCACGTGCCTCCATGGGCGTCCATGAAGATCGCTGACTCTGGGGGATACTTGGGTGCGCAGGTGGGCCCCGCGGCGGACGAGCGCAGTATCTGGCGCAAGGTGGCTG